TTCACTCTTGCCATCTCCTGTTTGACCACTTCCAATTTGCCTTGATTCATGGACCTAACATTCCAGGTTCCTATGCAATATTGCTCTTTACAGCATCGGACCTTGCTTCTATCACCAGTCCCATGCACAACTGGGTATTGTTTTTGTTTAACCTTAATCACCTCTATAAAGGCCCTCTCTCCAAATGTAGTCGCATACTTAGGTATTGAGAGGACTTCAACATGTGAATTTGGCAGGGGTGAGAGGGTAACAAAATTTAACCCATAGCATCAGTTTATGTGAATCCCTTACCTGGAGGACAGAAATGACAGCAGAAACTCCAGAAAATGTAAAATAGTTGGTCCAAGATATCGTTTGTGTATGTGCTGTGCTCAGTCGTGTCTCTTTGCAACCCCATGGACTGTAGCCTGCCAGGCTCCTCTGTCCATGAGATTCTCCAGGCAAGAATACTGGAGTGGGGATCTTCCCGACCCAGGGATTGAACCTGGGATATCCTGCATTGGTAGGCGGGCTCTTTACTACTGAGCCAACAGGGAAACCCAGATATCATTTGGACAGCTAACAAATTGAACTTTAGGATTTTTGTGTTTTTTTAAAATATTTATATTTATTTATTTATTTGGCTGCACAAGGTCTTAGTTGTGGCATGTGGGATCTAGTTCCCCAACCAGGGATCAAACCCAGGGCCCCAGCATTGAGAGCTCATGGTCGTAGCCACTGGACCACCAGGGGAGTCCCAGGATTTTTGTTCTTATTAGGTACAATTTCCTGAAGAAAATTTTGTGGAACCTATTAAAAAGAAATGAGTAAAAGTAACTGCTTTTTCTTTCAGATTTCCTTAAGTTACCTCAAAGTTCTCTTCCCAAAGATGTTCACAGAGTAAATGCCTCTTATTTTGCCCAAAATGAAGTTCATCAAAAAGAAAAGAAGTATCTTACACAGAAGGTTGTTTTTATTGATTAGAATTGTGTATAGTTTTAATTCTTTCATCACACATATAATACACAGTAACCAGCAAATAACATGCTAAAATAACTTATTGACAAATTCTAATATTGAACACAGAATAGTTCTATCTCTATTAACAATGAAAAACAAAACCACTCAGTATCTTGGAAAATTTAAATGCAGACCATTATTTCACAATTTGGAAATCTGCATAGTCCAGCTTTAAGATGACCTTCTCATTGTGGAAGCTTGCTCTGTCGATGTGCGATTTGGGACTTCCTTTTGTCTCAAGCCATTCCTGCATATGACGTACTTTGGAGGTGGGCCCTTGCAATTGTCCTTGCACTGTGCCCTGGTCAGTGTTCTGGACCCAGCCTACTAATCCAAGCTTTTTACCCTCAGCCTAAGGGAAAGAAAAAGACAAAGAGGAGAAATCCAGTGAGACTGAACAAAACAAAGCGAGACTACAATCTCTTGCCAGAACCTTGGCCTACAATCAAGACACTGAAACTAATTTGATATTGTCCAGAACAGTCAAAACAGAACTACAGCAAGGAGAATCTCATTGCTGATCTTAATGTGAAGTGTTGACCACTTGACTCCCATTTCCTTCTTCCACCCTATAAAACCCAGGCACCAGAATTTTTCACTGCATAGTCAATTTGATTAAGTACTAAAGATTTAAGACCAAATCAGATGTTTTCAAAATGATTCTCTAAGGCTGATTTTTGTTAGGATACTGGACTATATCTTGTTCATTTTCCTTCTCCTAATCAAGAATCTAACAGATATATTAAATAGAAAAAAGCATAAAGTTATCCGATCCTTCTGTTTCTCTTTAGCGAAGACCATACCTAAACAAACCCAGATGATTAAGTGTCCATTAAGTGTCCAATGACTTAAGTATCTTTAAAGATCATTAGAGAGTATTTCACAATTTCCTGGGCAAATCATTCCATTGTTCTCACTGTAAAGAAACTGTCTAATCCAAGGTCTTTACCTTGCATTCAAAGCCCATTTTCTCTCATCCTCTGAGAGAAGGAAAAAGTTGCTAGTGATCAGCCTCTAAACAACTACATTTCATAAGACCACATTAACTATTGTTTTCACTTGACTTTCTTCTGTCTAAATAATCACAAGGCCTTTAATGTTGAATAAGCTTAGGAAAAACATCTAATCATTGTAACTGCTCTTTTCTTAGACTTTTTATTGTTCTTTCCTATAAAGAATTAACTGTGAAATAACTGAAAATTGGGGGAAAGTAGCAATGTTTCAGAGGCAATTTATTTTTGTAAAATTTCCAACTAAGGATTTATAAAAGTTATTGCTTGTTACATTCTATCTAAATAGAAGGAGTTGGATTACAAAAGAAAATGGGAGTTAACATGACTGCATGTCCAAATGCTGGACTAGTGATCCAGTAAATATGGGAAATTGCTGGAGTTGGCCAAAGAAAATGTTATGCAGAGCAAAAGTATGTTTGATGAGGAACTGAAGTATTCATCAAATCAGTTATGTTCAAAGCAAAGACATGTTTGCATAATGAACAAAAGAGACTTCGGTCAAATAACAGTTTAAAGGATATGGAGGAAATTAAGAAATCAAGAAAAATAAGAGATATCTACAACATGATTAAGGGTTGTAGACTGAAGCATTAAAAAAGAATACAGAGAATGGATTTGAATAGGACTCCATGTCCCACTGACTTTGTGCAACAGCTGCACTCTCTTCTACTTCATGTTAACCCAGGGGAGTGGGCTGTGCCTAGTTCTTAGTTACCTTATATGGTAACTTGCTATAAGAATGACTGTGTGGAGGTTTTGAGCAGGAGGTTATACTAGTTCGATACAGTTAAAACTGCAGTGTGATTTATTTGAACTCCTGAGAGTAAACAAAACACTCCCAACTTTGACAGACGTTGAGAATAGGGATTTCCTATGGCTTTTTATCTGTGCACTGGATTCTGTTCTTATTTTTAAATGGTAACACAATATTGCTGACTCCTGTTCAGCTTTGACTATATATCTAAACAAGCAAGTAGTGCTTTCTCCTAAGAAAATTCCCAAGAGCTGATCCTCCCTCATAACCATATTTCCTCTTGAACAGTCATCTGCAAACATTTTAAAGATTATAATCACCAATTCTAGTCTCAATCTCAAAAAAAAGGTACCCTCAAACCAATAACCTAGACCTTCCACATTAAGAAACTAGAAAGAGAGGGGCAAACTGAACTCAAATCAAGCAAAAAAGGGAAATAGCAAAGATTAGAGCAGGAGTTAATAAATAATACAGGGATAAAGAAAACTTCTCTGGTGGTAGAGTGGTTAAGAATCTGCCTTGCAATGTGGGTTTGATCCTTGGTAGGGGAACTAATTTCCTACATGCCCCAGAGCAACTAAGACACACAACCCTCCCCCACCACCCCCCCCAACCCCAACTAGGGAGTCCTAGCTCAACAACAAAAGATCTGCAGGACTCAACAAAGATCCTGTGAGCCGCAACTAAAAGACCCGCCACAGCCAAATAAATAAATATTTAAAAATTGTTTTTCTGCATTCTTTTATTATCTCTTTACATTGAGGGGTGGGAGGTGCTATAAAGATGGGCTCTCCTGCCATCTGCTCCTTTTCCCTCAACAACTTTTATTAATCTTCATCAATTTTTAATCCATTTATTAAGCCATAGGAACTTACCCTGCATGAAAGTGAAAGTTGCTCAGTTGTGTCTGACTCTTTGTGACCCCACAGACTATATAGGCCACAGAATTCTCCAGGCCAGAATATTGGAGAGGGTAGCCTTTCCCTTCTCCAGGGGATCTTCCCAACCCAGGGATCGAACCCAGGTCTCCCACATTGCAGGTGGATTCTTTACCAGCTGAGACACAAGGGAAGCGCAAAAATACTGGACTGGGTAGCCTATCCCTTCTCCAGGGGGTCTTCCCGACCCAGGAATCGAACCGGGGTCTCCTGCATTGCAGGCAGCTTCTTTACCAACTGAGCTATCAGGGAAGCCTACCCTACATGACTGGAGGCAAAGCTATCTGAAACATAGCTCTTGCTATGACTTTCAGTAATTCTTTTCTTCCAACAGGCACTCACATATGAGCAGGGGACAGGAGGAACTGATGTGCAAATCATTGGAAAAAGAGGTAGTGACACTTAACATTCACATTTCAAAGATTCAGGTTTGAACTTTTAAGTGGCTTTGGCAAGTTCTGCAGTCTTAACTCATTATCTTTGGGGCTGGAGATACACTGGGAAGGCGATAGCCTGATACTCCCCTATAGAAGACAGAAGGCAAACTAAGATTTCATCTTTGTCATTAGGGAAGATTAGTGAAGTTAAGGCAGAGGCTGCCAATAGTCTGTTCATCCCCTCAATTACTAATATGTCATAGTAATACCAGGCTCCACGTTCAGTGTTACTATTACTTACCCTGGAATGAATAAAGTATTTTCATTAGAAAAGTTCACCTGGAAAAGGTGTTGCTTAGCCGGCAAGTCGTATCCAACTCTCTGTGATACCTTGGACTGTAGCCCTCCAGGCTCCTCTGTCCATGGGACTTCCCTGACAAGAATATTGGAGTGGGTTGCCATTTCCTTCTCCAAGGAATCCCCAAGGGATCTTTCTGACCTAAAAATAGATAGAACCCACATCTTCTGGATTGGCAGGCAGATTCTTTACCACTGAGCCACCTGGGAAGTCCTCCCCTGGAAAAGGTACTTGTTCTTTAAAACCTAAAATGAGCAGAATTAAGGAATTAAGTAGGGGAATGGGAGAGGATTGAAGAGAAAAAAAGGTCTGAAGAAAATGCAACAGCTACAGAGGAAGCAGTTACATAAATTACACAGTCATTTAAATGTCATCTCTGATCAGTGTTAACTTTCCTGTAAAAATTGTGATTTGTTTTGATGATGCCCCAATAGGGAGAACTGGAAACCCTTTCTCTTTGTAAAAGAGAAGCTCATCCATATGTGTGTTGGTACTCAATACCACTGTTAGACCAATAATAACAGCAGACAAAGCTTCCAGTAGGGATTCCCAGGCGACTCAGTGGTAAAAGAATCCACCTGCCAATGCAAGAGACCTGGGTGGAGAGATCCCCTGGAGGAGGAAATGGCAACTCACTCTAGTATTCTCCCTGGGAAAATCCCATGGACAGAAGAGCCTGGCAGGCTACGTAGTCTTCGGAGTTGCAGAGTCGGACACGACTGAGCATGCATGCACACAGAAAAGCTTCCATTTGCGTTGTGGTTTACCCATTGCAAAGCATTTTCATACCTATTCTTCCACAAACCACCTCTTTGCCATTCAGTTACCAAAGAGCCAGCTCCTCCAAAGAATATTTTTCGGGAACATGTCTCTTGTTCCCATGCTGATAAGGTAGGTAGGCCACATACCTGAGTGTACTTGCGGAAAAACACTCCTTGCACCTTTCCAAAAATTTCATAATCCACTGATATCAGGGTATCCCCTTCTGCCATGCTCATGCTCAAACCTGTCAGAGACCAGGATAGCAGAAAAGTAAAGGGCTCATTATCCTACTCCAGGGCCTCCAATCCTTAGGCAGAAAGAGTCACACCCATACCTCTACATCCTTAACCACTGTGACCTCTCCCTGACCTTAAGGTGCCCGTACTTCGGATACGTACAAGCGCGGGTGTCTGAAGTAACAGGAAGACATCTGCAAGGGAGCTTCGGGTCGCGATTGCCCACAGAGGCCTCTTTTGGGGCAATTACCTGCTTATCCAATTACCTCCCTACAACTCATCCCCGGTCCCGCTCCCTTTCCATCCTTCCCTCTTCCCACAGACCTGTCTTCCACGCTGCCGCCAGTACCCCCTCCTATTAAATTTGAGAGCTAATCGAACTCATGGGCACGCCCCGGGTCCCTATCCCAGGCTCACCCTCTTTGTCGTCCTCTCAAGCGTTAGGGACTACCCGGCCGACCACCAGGCCAACAGTCACCCCTCGGCCGCGGAACCGCTGCGCCCGGAAGCTTAGAGGGCGGCTCCTCCTTCGCCGCCTCTCCTGTCCATCACCTCCACCGACCAATCACGCACGGAGCGCTCGGCCCAGAGCCCGCCTAGAGGGTGGGATTTCGGGAGGCGCGTGTCTAGGAGTGCCCGACCCTCGGGGTGGGAAGGATCTGTCCAGGGTCTCGGCCACGACTCTACTGACCGAGTCCTCATCCTACCTTGGTCACTAAGCGCACCTCTTTTTTTTTTTAAGTTTCTCTTGGGGAGAAGGACGAAGACGAAGAAACACTTGAGATAAATCCAATCATTCTGTAAATAATTACTGAGAGCCTCTGTGTGCCAGGCACAGTTTTAGGTGCTTGCCAGACATTAACGAACAGAAAGGATCCCTGGATTGGAGGAGCTTAAATTCTGGAGACAGAGATGGACGACAAACACTAAACATCATAAACAAAACAAAAAAATTAAATTCAAGACATAAAACTTTTCTGCCCTTTTCCTCAGTTCTCCTCCAATTCTGGGTCATGCCTAAGCCTGGAATTGGTAGCAGCAGCAACAAGAGTATAGGAGGTCGCATGAAGGTTATTTCTCCCACTGTGATTCTGGAAGCTGCCCACCAGTCTACTTTACTAAGTCTATCTTACTAAGTAAGTCTACCTTACTAAGAAAACTCTAAACAATGCTTATCTAAAGCAACTAATCACAAGCACAAACAAAATAAACTAGGGCTCCAGAATCACAACTGAATCAGTCAACCTAAGCCAAGTGACCAAGTTGCATGAATTTCTTTAGGGAGAGAAGGGAATTGTCAAGGGGAGTTGTGGGTGATGATTGTTAAAAGTAGGGTCATCTTGTGTGCATCAGTCACTCAGTTATGTCTGACTCTTCGTGACCTCATGGACTATAGCCCACCAGGATCCTCTGTCCACGGAATTCTCCAGGCAAGGATACTGGAGTAGGTTTTCATTTCCTTCTCCAGGGGATCTTCCCCACCCAGGATTGAACCCGGGTCTCCTGCATTGGAGGCAGACTTTTTACTGTCTGAGCCACGAGGGAAATGCAAAGGTCACCTTGTAGGCATTTATATCCAGATATCCTATGATTAAGAATGCATATGGGGCTTCCTTGGTGGCGCAGTGGATAAGAATCTGCCTGCTAGTGCAGGGGACTTAGGTTTGATCCCTGGTCCGGGAATATCTCATGTGCCACACAGCAACCAATTCCATGTACCACAACTATTAAGCCTGTGCTCTAGAGCCTGAGAGCCACAACTACTGGGTCTACGTGCTGTAACTACTGAAGGTCAAGTGCCTAGAGCCTGTGCTCTGCAACAAGGGAGGCCACCTCAATGAGAAGCCCTTGCACTGCAACAGACAGTAGCCCTCACCTGCCACAACTAGAGAAAGCCTGAGCACAGCAATGAAGACTTAGTGCAGTCAAAAGTAAACAAACAAAAAAAGTTATATATATATATATATATATATACACACATACACATAAAGAATGTGAATGAAGGTAAACTGTGGTGCTTACTGTTGCTCTTTGTAGTGCTGTGTACCTTACATCCCTCCATAAAACTCCATGTGTAAATATGCCAGGTTGGTGGACTTGGCAAGGTGAGATGGATTTTCAGGCCATGGAGATTCATTATTCCATTATTTCCCCACTACAAAGTGAGGGTCCAGATCCTGCACAGTCATATGACCTCAGTGCTGGTGTGGGGGTGGGAGTGGTGTTGGAAACTGGATTGAATTGTCATGCTAGGCAATATTTGAAAATAATGCTGAACAGAGTAACTGGCTGATGTTATTTCTTTAAAATTTATTTTAAAAAAAACTAGTTTCTAAAATAAATGGAAAATAAAAACTAGTTTCTCTGTAGCATTAAACTATTGACTGCCTACATATATACACACTGTAGGATATACAAAGATGGATGGTATATAATCTTTGTCCTTAAAGAGCCTTTTATTTCGGTAAGGGGCAAATATGCATGCAAATGATGACAATGCAGTACACAATATGAGAATTCAGTTCCATGAACATCCACTGAGAGCTCATGACAAGCCAGCCCTGTGACAAAAAATATTATGAGAGCACAAAGGAGCAGAGAGATTCCTTCTGGCTGGCAAGACTGGGAAAGCGTTCTTGGAGGAAACAGCATATTACCCAAGGTTACACAACCACAAAGAGTAAGTGATGGAGCTGGGATTTAGTTCCAAGCAGTCTGAGTACAGAGCCTACTCTGTACTGAATGCTATGTTCTACCACCTTCCAGTACATGGAGTTGGAGTAAGGCCACTGAGGTAAGACAGTATAAGTAGTCAGATGTGTCTGGACCCTGGGTGTATATTACCCAGTATATACTACTGATATACTACTGGGTATATATCAACCCTGGCTGTACATTAGGACTTTGGGGAAAGTTTACAAAAGACTGATACCCAGGCCTTACCTCCAGAAAAACTGCTTCCCAGGTAGTCCTAAAACACAGCTAGGGTTGACTCTGGGGAGGCAAGGCATGTTTCAACTTTATCCTGTAGGTAAAGAAGAAGCCATTGGGTAGGAGAATGATAGGTTCAGATGTATTTAGGATTTAGGATAGGGACTTTCCTGGGAGCCCACTGGTTAACCTCTCAACGCACATTCGGTCCTCAGTCAGGAAATGAAAACTCACACAACACAACTAGAGAAGCTCCTACACAACACAGTGAAGACTCAGAACAGCCAAAAGAAGCAGATGTATAGCAGGAGAGTGGTGCTGTCCCAGTGAGAAGTGAAGAAACTCACCTAGGGTAGGAGAAATGAAAAGGAAGGGACATATATAAAAGACACTGCAGAATGAATTCAACAGAGCCTGCTGACCAGTTAGAGAGAAGGGGTGACAAATAGGGGGGAGTGGAAGATGACTGATGTTTCAGCATGAGAGGGAACACTGGAGAAGTGGCTTGGGAAATAGGGAGGTAATCACAAGTTTGTTTTCTGTCATATTGACTTTGAGATACCTGAGGAACATTCATGTGCATGTGCTATGTGGGCATTTGGAAACTTGAGTCTGTAACTAAGGGGGAGAACTAAGATGCCATTGAAACATAGGTGAGAACTGAAATTTCAGCATTTGGTTGAAATCATTATGGAAGAGAACGTCTGAAATTGCATTTATATGAGAAATAAGCTTTGGAGAACAACTATATTTGGGAGGCAGGTGAGGAAAAGATGTAAACGCAAGAATATGAAAGAAGATGGAAAAAGGACATGAAAAAAGAAACCAAGAAGGCACAGAGAAGCAAGTGAGAAGAGAGTTCCAACGGAGAGAAAAAATCAATGTCAAATGAGTAAGCTGAAGAAATAGCAGCTTTTGTCTTTAGGGTCATTGAAAGGTCACTGGTAGCCTGGCCAGTTAAAAGCGGAGACAAGGAAACCAGACCACAATGGACTAGACAATGAGGGAGAGTCAAAGAAGTGGGGACAGCAAATGTAAAGCATTCTATTAAGAAGTCTTGTGGAGGAGAAAGGATTGGAACCCTAAGGTGAGAGGTGAGGTCAAGGGAAATGAAGCTTTTTTTTTTTTTGTAAGGCAAAGCTAAGCATATTCTAAAACCAAAGAAGAGTGCGTGGATGGATACAACTTGAAGTTAACAAGATAGATGGGTATGGTGAGTCAATTCCTGGAAGGTACTGAAAGGGACTAAGTCAAGAGAACTCAAGGAAAGACAAAGATTTTTTTCTTCCTCAGAAACAAGATGGAAAAAAGTCAAGATGGAAGGAGGCACCCTGGGAAATTCTGCCAGGCTAAAGAGGAGCTTTGGGAGTTAATGACAGGCAAGCCCCATGCTGAGATAATTGGGACCTTGAAAAGAGGGAGAAACGTCTGGAAATGCATACACAGAGAAGGCAGTCGAGAGACAACTAGGAGAGAAAACAGGGCATCAAAGGACTGCTTTGGAGCACCACCAAGGAATTTATAACATGTAAAAAATGCAATATGACATGCCGAAGTAGCAATACTGACCACTGCTGTCTATATTATTTTCCATGTGCATGAATCTTTTTAAGTAGTTGCAAGGGAAAGAGTAAGCTGGCTGTTTCAAACAGCTTGCACAAATGAACTGAAGTATGAAGACAAATAAACTCTCTCTTGATGTTAACGAGTTATGGAATATCTTTAGGGTTGAAACCAGGTTACACTGAGTATTTTGGATCTGGTGGTTAGCTTCAATATCATTACACTTGTCTGAGTCATTCTTGGGCCCTGAGAAGACAGGGCCAGAGTTACCACATGAGAGGAAAACATTATATCAAAATAATGAGATTGGCTACAAAAACTTCCCCAGAAAGAGACTGCGTAGCAAAACCTAGCGGAGTTGCTAAAATCTGACGCAAGCTCCAAACTATGTGCGAGGAAAAGCATGGAGAAAGAGTCGACAACCGTTACCTGGGGCCCGTACCAAGCAGCCGAGCGTGCCAAGAAAGGCTAAAAGGAGGGCCGACACCGGGATCTTGCGGCAGAATGACCGGAGGGCGGATCTAGGCGCTCCGTCTTTTGCCAGAGAAGGGCACACCCCATGATCGGAGAGCATCGCTCTGGGCAAAATACAAGCTCTTTGATGGAGCCCCAGAAGAGCCTCTCCCAGCCCCTACCCACGTTCCCCAAGGGCAGGGCTGGACGGAGCTGAAGAGTTGGCGGGACACCCCGTCTAGTGACACTGCTGGACCGCGCCCGCGGCCCCGGCGGCCCCGGGTGCGCGGACTGCGCTTGCGTACGCTCCCCCCCCACCCCGCCACCCAGCGGTGGGGCGGGGCTGGGCGCGCGCACGTGCCCCCGTCTCCAGGCAACGGGAATAACAGCCGCCCTCTGAGAGTTCCTGCGCGGCCGGCGGCTGCGGGAGGGCGTGTGGTCAGGAAGCCTGAGTCCTGCGGCTTCCCCTGACCGGGAGCCGCCTCCAAAAGAGCCTCAGGTACGCGGAAGGGCGGGAAGGCATGGGGTCAGCGCCTTGATCTCCCAAAGGCCCGACGGACTGAAGAGCCGAGGGCTTGTCCCCGAAGCGGAGTCACAAGTCAGGGACGTCCCGGGTGACCCTCCAGGACAGGACGCAACTTCCGCGTTCCGATCTAAACCCGCGGTGGCCGGATCATGTGGTTCTTGGGTGAGGGTTTGGCAACCAGGCACCTGCTGCATGCCCTGAACCGGCTCTGTGCTCTTTAGGATCAAGCTCGGTTCCAGCAGGAGGGAAGCCCTGGGAGTTTTTGTGCCGGTCACTTACCAATGGGCTGCAGTTTTCTCGCCTATAAAATGATGGGGCTGGACTCAGAGTCCTGCGTCTCCCGCATTCCAGTCCTGTAACTCTGGGCGAATCCCCAGCGAAGGGAAGCTGCTTCTCCTGTGTCACAGGCCTAAAAACTGACTTTCAATCCAGTAACTCTTTCCATCTGCAATGAAGTGTATTATTGTGTGTGCGAGCGCATCACTGTGTATGGCAGAGACTGGTAGTGATATAAAGGAAAGGTAGGTGGCAAGAACATCTGTGTCACACTCCTTTTTCTATCCTCAGAACCTGATAAGCAGCCACAGAACACAGTAAGCATTCACCAAATGCTTATTGAACGAAAGCTCTGGTGGACCCAGCACCAGTGTCCCTAAAAAGTCTAAGGGAAAATGTGGGTAGGCAGATGTAGAAACAGTTATACTTTAGCAGTGGAGGTGAACCTCAGCAAACTCCTCACATATGTCTGGTTTAACTCTCCCCTAGGCTTCAGTCCAGGCCCTGAATGGCTGGTCTCCAGTTGGTGTTGCCTCTGCCTATGGGCGTTATGCTCCCACATAATAAAAGGGATGCTCCAGAGCTCCATTCAGCTAAGCAAGACCCCTATAGAAAAAGTGACTCTTCCCAGCGGTCCTCTGCAGGGCACCTGAGGAACAATTTCCAGCAGAAGCTTTTGAGTAACCAAGAACTGATGCTGGATAATCTCTACACTCACCCCAAGTGGAACACCTGCACCAAAGCCCAGAGCTATTCATATCCCCACTGTGCTGGAATGAGCCAGCACGATCCAAGAAGCAATCCCCAGGGCCAAGCCAAGGGTTCGTTTTACGCATCACACCCTCAGTCCCGGTATCCCAAAACAAATGACCAGGAATTCATCCCCTTGACAAAGAAGCGAGTGGGGGTAGACCGGGCATACCCTTTGAAACCTGTGTTTCATCGGAAGTCCCATAGTACAGGTGAGGCTGGCACTGATGGGGACCAGAACGCTTCTCCAAGAACCCCTGAGCCAAGAAAGTATTCGAACAGTAGCTTTGGTTCAAGGAACTGGGTGAATTCATTGATGGTTGGTCCAGTTGCTGCCACTCAGGAGGAAAGGGTCATGGCAAATGCCAGCAGGACAGAATGGATGCAAATCCAAAGACTCGAAGCTGCAGGGGAGAGCTTAGGGGAGGAAATCCGCAGAAAAGAGACTCTTCTGAGGGAAAAGCTGAAGAAGACGGAGGAGGGACTCAGAAGGATCCAGAAGGAAAAAGAGCAGGCTGAGGAAAATGAAAAAAGAGAGCTACAGAGAATGGTGCTCTCCCGGAGGAGAGTTAAAGATAATAGCATCTCCACGTACAAACCTATCTTCTCTCCAGCATTCGGGTCTGAGGAGGTCTTCAACAGAGACACAGGAGAAGACGAAACTTGGGGACAATCTGAAGAGAATTCTAGTCCATTCCATTTCTCTGATTATAGAATTCAGAAGCTCAAAAGGGAAAGACTGGTGGCAAGCAATAACAAAATCCGAGACCCAGTCTCAGGGCCATTGAAGGAGAAGTTTTCTCAAGCTCCAGAAGCACCGTTCAACACTTTGCAGAGATACACCAGCAATTCTAGCTCATCCAGGGCACCAGACTCTTCAGGCTCCAGATGTCCCACTGAAGAGCCAGAACTGGGCGAGTGCAGCCACTGTGGCCGAAAGTTTCTCTTGCTCAGGCTGGAGAGACACTCCAGCATCTGCCGCAGGATGCAGGGTTCCAAGAGGAAAGTGTTTGACTCCTCCAGGGCCCGGGCCAAGGGCACAGAACTAGAGCAGTACTTGAACTGGAAGGGTCCAGCTTCAGTCAAGGTAACAAGGGCCTTATGGATTTGCCTTTGAGTGGGGATCATTTTTAAGAGCCTGTTATGTCCTCACCCATTTTCTTTAGAAAGATTTCATGTATCTTATAGGGAGAAAGAATTCACATTTGATTTATTGATTCCTACTGTGTGCCAGTCACAGTGATGGGAGGTTTTCATATGTTCCTCACTACAGCCCTGTGAAGGTTTCATTATTTTATCAGTTCAGTAATCAAGTTTCAGGTTAATTTGCTTACGATCACAAACAGCTTTAAATGGCTGCATCTAAATCTGGGTCAGAATGATTCCAAAATCTAGACTTAAAAAAATATGTTGTTTTGATTATATAAGTAATAAACACTTACTGTAGAAAATTTGAGAATGAAAAATATAAAAAAATATTATGAAGCATTTCACTACCCTGACAACATTCCTCATTCTTTATAATATATTCTGCCATCACCCCAAATTAGGACTTGTTACCACTCCTGGAACTCTATCTACTTTTCCAAGTTTGGCTAATTTTGATATCCCTTCTTAGTAAATACATGAAACACATGATTAAGTTTGGAATTCTTTTTCTCCCCATTTGGAGTATAAACAATCTAAAGGTGGAGGACTTTATTTTTTAAATAATTTTTATTGGAGTATAGTTGATTTACAATGTTGTATTAGTTTCAGGTGTATAGCAAAGTGAATCAGTCATATGTAGGTATATCTCTATATCTATACACACACACTCATTTTTAGATAGGGCATTGCAGAGTATTGACTTTCCTGTGCTATACTGCAAGTCCTTATTATCTATTTTATATACAGTAGCGTGTATATCTCAATCCCAATCTCCCAATTTATACCCCCAACCCCTTCTTGGCAACCACAAGTCTGTTCCCTACATCCATGACTCTTATTTCTGTTCTGCAAACAAGCACATTTGTACCATTAAAAAAAAAATTTCCACACATGAGTGGTATCACATGATATTTGGCTTTCTCTTCACTCAGTGTGACAATCCCTAGGTCCATCCGTATTGCTAGATGGCATTATTTCATCCTTTTTTTATGGCTGAGCAACATCCCATTGTGTATATGTACTGCATCTTTATCCACTGCTCTGTTGATGGATATTTAGATTGCTTCCGTGTCTTGGCTATTGTAAATAGTACTGCTGTGAACATTGGGTTGTGTGTATCTTTTTGAGTTATGGTTTTCTTCAGATATATGCCTAGGAGTGATTTTTTTTTTTCTGGGATAGCAGACTTTATTTTTGGTGAACATTCCTAACTGTAGAAAAACTAGGTTGTAAAAAGTGACTTCAAGACACTTCCATACGTTTGGGAGAACTTCACAAGCACATGTGGACAGTCTGATCAGGAGAAGATTGTCTGGTTATACCTTGTCAAGGTTACACCACTGGGATTGTAAATAAGTGTTTCTCAAAGTATGGCATGCTGACAAACATTTTTTATTTTAGTAATTTTAATGTGTATTAGGCAAGTAAACCAAAACAAGCCCTTGATTTCTAGGAATATTGACTTTAAAGAAAAATAGTAAGGAGGATAAAGTGAAAGTGGTCTGCAAATGACCAAAATGTGGGAAAGCCTAGACCACATGATCGCAAAGCCCTGTCTCTAAACTCTGAAAGCATTATTCTATTTTCATTTCCTTCCAACCCTCTCCACTGCTGCGCTAGCACTTCTTGTCCGTTGGCAGTTTATTGTTTATGTGTGTATTTGTGGGGCCTTTAAAAACTCACATTTATGTGATGGCTGTTAAGACATGTTTTTTGCAGTTAGAGTTATTTATTTTAGTATGGGAAATGACTATAAGAAAGTCATTTCTATGTTTATCGATGATCTCCTGAAATCCTGTTGCCAATGAGAAGTCAAAATTTTGCTCTTGCAGATAATGATATGATCACAGGTTCCTGTTCTTTCCTGTTTTCTTTCTGGTCAACCCAATAATCCACTGGGGAATTCTTTGTCCCACTGCAGTGGTTTATTTCTGGCCAGAGCCAAAAAGAATCTTGTATTTCTTAAATTCCCAAATAGCATAGCAATGAAGCAAAACAATTGGATTTCTGAGATTAGATGCCCTGGCTTTGTGGAAGCTTGTTTGAGGAAACATGTTGTGTTGAGGATACCATAACAGAAAGTATCTGGATTGAGATGCACTCCCCTCCTTGACTGTCCTGAGTCTTTTCCCAAAGCTTGGTGCCTCTGCAAGCTGAGTGGTTTGTGTCTGTCATTCCTTCTGTGTAGTCACAAGAATAGATGATTTTTCTTCTCTCCTTTATTATTCACATAATTTCCAATAGACTCGGCTCGTACTTCTGGTCTCTCTACTGTACATCGTGCATTTGAGTGTAAGAGACTACATCTTTGTGCTTTGTGATTCGTAAGTGTTAATTGAATGAACTTCAGTACAATGAAGAATTAAAGTATAAGTATCATATGGTTGAGGAACTTTTCCTTAATTCTAAAGGTTGCTAGATACCATCTCTAACACTGATTCTCTTACCTAGTCTGTTTCAGTAAGACTCTCCTGATGGATCCTTCCTTTCCTTTTGATAACATCTCTTCCTATATTCATCACCAAGTAGCTACTTGCCTTTTTTCCCCTTCTTTTTAATATTAATTTTATTTTCATCTAATATTTGAATACATTTAAAAAAATCACATATTCCTAAGTGACCTGTAGTGCAGATCAACAGTCTTCTGCCTCATCCCTCTCTCACCTTTCATCTGTCCCCCACAGGCAGTTCTGATAGATGACTCTTCTGGAATGTCTATTTCTAATATACTTATTTTCTTGATTTATCAGTTTTGCACATGATCTGTTCACCTCCACTTACGGACACTGTGGGTTCATATCCCCTCTCCTCCCACTTCTGTCCTTCTATTGTAGTGAAATCACAATTTTGGGTTAAACCAGTAGTCAGCTATTTATGTGATAATAATCACATAAATTTTGCTCACTGTTCAGTGAACAGAATCTGCCCCTGCCCACATGTACTGAGTTAATAATTGACTCATGTTTTAATTTGTTTGGTTTCCTACATACCTATCTCAAATGTTTTTTTCCCCCTAAATGGTCCTCCCAGGTTCAGACACCAGTTAATGTTTTTGTAACTGCTCAAACACTTCTCATAGTCTTATCCATTTGACTTTTTCATTCTAAAACCTCCCTCCCATTTTTTTCTTCCTGCTCCAGTCCAGACTGGTTCTTCCCCAGGCTTGGTGCAGACCTGTTGTCTTGAACCTTCTCTTTGCTTCTCTTCGGTTCCCAGCATCTTGTGTCTTCCTTTTTCTTGCTTGACTCCTTGCTTTGGAGAGGCTTATTAAGAAACGTGAATGGAGGCATGTTTTTTTTTTCTTGTCATGGGATGAATGAAAATATCTATACAGTAGTCTTATTTTTGACTGATGAATTGGCCAGGTAGAGAATTCGAGGTGGAAATTATTTTCTGTTAGAACTTTTAAGATAGTTTACTAATAGCTTCTAGCATCCTGTGTTACTGTTGAGAAATCTGATGCCATTTTGTTTCCTTCTCCATTATATGAAATCTATATATTTTTGCTTTTTATCCAAGTTTATAGGATTCTCTCTTTAATATGAAATTCTACAGTGATTGTGTTGGGTAGTGCGTAGGCCATTTAAATCTCAAGGGTAGGGACCTTTATTTCTAGGACTGCTTAGTGTCTTATTTATGTAATAATTTCCTCCTTGTCCTGTTTTTTGGAACTCCTATTGGTTGGTATTGGATTTTCTAGATTGGCTTTCTAATTTTCTGATGTTTTCTACTTTCCATCTTAATTCTTTCTTCCCATTCTGAGTAATTTTTCTGACATTATTTACAACAGTTCTGTTTTTTAGTTATCACAGTATTAATATATAGTAGTTACTTCTGGCTTTCTCATTACTTTTTCATAATATATATATTCTCATTTCATAGACAAAACCTCTTCTAATACCATTTGTTGATATTATGATTTTTAAATAAAATTTATTTTTAATTGGAGGATAATTGCTTTACAGTGTTGTGCTGGTTCCTGCCATGCATCAACGTGAGTCAGCCATAGCCTGCCTCTTGAACCTTCCCCCTACCTCCCACCTCACCACCCCAGCCAGGTTGTCACAGAGCACCCGGCCAAGCCCCCTGCATCATACAGCAGATGCCCGCTGGCTTTCTGTGTTACACGTGGTAGTGCGTGTGTTTCAGTGCTGCTCTCTTCTTTTCCCACCCTCTCCTTCCCCCGCTTTGTCCACAAGTCTGTTCACTATGTCTGCGTCTGTACTGCTGTCCTACAAATAGGTTCGTCAGTACCATTTTTCTGTGTGAATATGCAATATTTGTCTTTCTGAGTTACTTCACTCTGCATAACAGGCTCTGGGTTCATCCACCTCGCTATAACCGACTCAAATTTGTTCCTTTTTATGGCAGAGAAATATTCTATTGTATATATGTACCACAATTTCTTTATCCATTCATCTGTTGATGGGACATCTAGGTTGCTTCCTGGCCTAGATGTCCTGGCCACTGTAAATAGTGCTGCACTGAACACTAGGATACATATGTCTTTTAGAATTGTGGTTTTCTCAGGGTACATAGGCCCAGTAGTGGGATTGCTGGGTCATATGGTAATTTTGTTCCTAGTTTTTAAAGAAATCTCCAAACTGTTCTCCCTAGTGGCTGTATCAATTTACATTCCCACCAACAGTACTAGAGGATTCCCTTTTCTGCATACCTCCTCTAGCATTTATTGTTTGTAGATTTTTTTGATGATGGCCATTCTGGCTATCCAGGTAGCTCAGTGGTAAAGAAAATGCCTGCGAATGCAGGAGACCTCTGTTCAATCTGTGGGTTGGAAAGATCCCCTGGAGGAGGAAATGGCAATCCACTTCAGTCTTCTTTCCTGGAAAACCCCATGGACAGAGGAGCCTGGCAGGCTACAGTTAATGAATGGGGTTGCAGAGTTGGATATGACTGAACACAGAGATAGAGCATTCTGCCCAGTGTGAAGTGATATGTTGTAGTTTTGATTTGCATTTCTCTAATAATAAGCAATGTTGAGCAAATTTATCATGTGTTTATTAGCCATCTGTCTTCTTTGGAGAAATGTCTGTTTAGGTCTTCTACCCATTTTTGATTGAGTTGTTTATTTTTCTAATATTAAGCTGCCTGAGCTGCTTGTATATTTTGGAGGTTAATCCTTTGTCAGTTGCTTCATTTATAACTAATTTTTTTCCATTCTGAGGGATTATCTTTTCATCTTGTTTATAGTTTCTTTTGCTGTGCAAAAGCTTTTAAGTTTAATTAGACCTCCTTTGTTTATTTCCATTACTGTAGGTGGGTCATAGAGGATCTTGCTGTGATTTATGTCAGTGTATTCTGCTTTTTTTCTCTCTGAGTTTTATAGTAGTTTCTGGTCTTACATTTAGATCTTTAATCCGTTTTGAGTTTATCTTTGTATGGTGGTAGGAAGTATTCTAATTTCATTCTTTTACACGTAGTTGTCTTGTTTTCCCAGTACCACTTACTGACAAGACTGTCTTTTCTCCATTGTATATTCTTGCGTCCTTTGTCAAAAATAAGGTGCCTATAGGTGCATGGGTTTATCTCTGGGCTTTCTATCTTGTACCATTGGTCTAAATTTCTGTTTTTCTGCTAGTACCATACTGTCTTGATGACTGTAGCTTTGTAGTATTGTCTGAAGTCAGGAAAGTTTAAAGTCAGAGCTCTACTCAAATGTCTAGTGATCCTTGTCTGTCCATTCATATTTAAGCTTAAGTGGGGCTTGTTGACTGAGGGCTCTCATATTAGGGTTATCAAACAGTGAGCCTGTTAAGTGGGGTTGCTCAGAGTCAGCATTTCAACTTCTCTATCAACTGCTCGATGCATCCAGAGAAATCTCGTCTCCTATGAGGGTGCCAGTGTGCCTGGTACTCTGGAGGATGGTGGGGGACACAGTATATCATGTACACTTGCCCTTAATCCCATTTCAGCTCCTAGATAACCCTGTTCTCTGTTGTGCCTGGACATCTTGAGTCTGAAACCTGTCTGGTTCAATTTCTCCAGAGAGGGTGTCGGAAGTGCTGGGCACTTGGATGTGCCAGGTGGAGAGGAGCCATGGGAGCCAGCCTATTCTCAGCCCTGTGCCTCCCCCTTTCCACTACCTGTATTTCCAAGCATTAAGCCTCTCAGGGAAAACCGGCTTGCCTCTCAGTGATACTTGCCTTTGCAGGCCCTTAGGTTTAAGTATCTCCACTATGGCAAGTCAGTTATTGTTGCTCCTTTCCTATTCTCTTTGACCTTGTGTATTAACACCCTTTTAACTTCCTTACTATAATTCTAACAGAGAGGGAAAAGGAAAGGGATGACCTAGACACCAAGTTAAATGATTAGTCTTTCTTCAACTTACAGGCCAAACCTCCTCGGAAGAGCAACTGGAGACAGAAGCATGAATCCTTCATCCGTACCCTCCGTCAGGCTCGAGAGTTCCAGCAGGTGATTGCCAAGGGTGGAAACCCCTCAGACCTGCCTCCCATCCTGCCTGTAGAAAATCCAGACTATATTCAGTGCCCTCACTGTAGCCGCCACTTTGCTCCCAAGGTGGCAGAGCGGCACATCCCCAAGTGTAAGACCATCAAGAACCGTCCTCCGCCTCCAAGAAAGCACTACAGTTGAGACAACAGTGGAAACCTCCTCGATGGTCCAGAAGGCTTCTGCTTCTCTTGAGCAGTAAGTAGGAGTAATTTGATGCCGAGCAGAAAGAACTAAAACTTTTACATATCCCAGATCTGCCTGCAGAGCTGAGATCAGTGAAGAAAGAGAGACCCATTGCTAAGCAGCAAGATGCAAAAGGAGGCCTCAGCTTCCCATTAAATCCCCACCTCCGGCTGATGTGCCTGATGTAATTGCTCTGAGAACTGATGGCTGAAGAAACTTAAGAGCAGTGAGCAGGCTACATTAAAGCTCTCTTCTCGCAAGCCTAATTGTGGTTTGTGCTAGTTTAAGTGCCTGCATTTGTTGTGCCTTCTTGCCACTGCCTCTGCATGTATGTCTGTGGTTCCGGTTAAGTCTTCTTATTCTTGTAAGAAGTTGGCTCACTGGTGTCACAGGATCATGCATGGCATCTCTTGTCAGGTTAGGGCGCCAGTATGTCCTAAACCCTCCCTATGCTGGGCTGTGTAATAAGGGGAACCTCATCTTTATGTACTTTACAGGGTAGGGATGGGGGAAAGCACACTGTGTCTCTTTTTAATGGATTTCATATGTCAAGAAAAAAAAAAAAAAAGGAAGGAAGGAACTTTAGTTTCAGCTGTTGCTAGCACTCTGCTTTCAAATCGGTTTGGTTTGATGACTTTTAAAATGACACAGCAAAATGTACCCTCAAAGCAAGCTGGGACATTTCAGTGTCACATGTCTGTACTGATTATATCACAGTAAACCTCTCTTCTAGAAAGTAAACTTTGAAGGAGAAGATGCCAGATCTAAAATTTTCTCAGCAGAATCATGCCTACTGCAAGTAACCTTCATAATTAGACATTGAAAAAATAGGTTTGGGAATTTAAAATTAAATCATAAAATCAGTGAGTCCTAGACTTGTCAGTGGAGAAGGCAATGGCACCCCACTCCAGTACTCTTTCCTGGAAAATCCCATGGACAGAGGAGCCTGGTGGACTACAGTCCATGGGGTTGCAAAGAGTTGGACACGACTGAGTGACTTCACTTTCAGACTTGTCAGACAGGAGAAGTGACAACGCAGTGTCTGATGGGGGAAATATCAGTTCAGGTAGAATGAAGTGAGCACAACAGATCTGAAATACCAATAAGATTACTGTCCTGAGAGCATTACTTAAACTGTTAGTTTAAAATACTGGAGAAAAGTCAACAAAGCTGATCCAGGCAAAGGGGGCTGTGCAGACCATAAAGCCATATTTACTAACTACAGACGGCCACTCACTCTTGTTCCGTTTCCTCTGCAGCTTCCGCCAAGTGGCTGGGCCAACGTATCAGACCAATTTGATATGCCCATCTTTAAGGCATTAGCTGTGAAGCTGCTGGACACTAGGCTGAAAACAAAATCATATATATTTAAAAAAAACAGCATATAATGCTTTATGCTTTTCCTGTTACAAAGAAAAAGAGGTATAACGGGGCCTCTGGTTGGTCATTTCAAGAAACCTCACAGAGAAACACCGGATATTTAACCAAATATATATAGTTCCCTGGCAAGTTTAACGAGGTACCCACTTTTAGGTTTCACACTTGACGGTAAAAGCAATAGATGATGAGAATGAGTGGTGGCCAAGGTCACAAAGTGGTAGCCTGTGGACTGCTTTGCTTCACAGGTGTGTTTGGACTGACACAGCATTAAAAGTATAATCTGACATTTAAAAACGGTGACATGGAGCATCTTGTGAAAAACGGGAAGCTCTGGAAGCCCTGGGCCTGCAGCTCTGCTCAGCACTGAGTGGGGTTCGGAACCAGCTGCTCCTCCCAGGAGGGGCGGAGCAGAGCGCACCACCACCCGCCCGGCGCGCTCCGCCTCTTTGCCTTGTCTGGTCAGGCCCCCCGATGATGTTACAAGGTCACAGGCCGGGGGCCTCCAGGGAGAACCAATGTGTGTGTGGGGAGCGCTTTCTTATGCTGCTAGAGAGATAAACAATAGTCAATGCCCTAGTGTTCCCTTCCATCTCAAAATGTTTAGGCCTTGATTACAACAGGAATATCCATTAGCCTTTTAAGTTCAGCTTGATTGGATCTTTGGGCAGAAGTAAGAACACTTTTTCTATCTCAGTCTCTTCCTGGAGAGTAGAGGATGACAGAGGATAAATAAATGCTGCTTGTTAATGTCTCTGTGTTATACTACTGTATCCAAGAAACTTTAGCGTAGACGCTATAAATTTTTAAAGTTCAAAAGGTTAAGCGATGGGAAAAAAATCTCACAGTAAGACTCACTTCGTTGAAAAGTATATGCAGACACGCTGAGACAGTACTGACAGCAGTCTGTTGAGTGCAACACCTCACCTTTGGCCAAGCATTTGCTGTAGGTCATCAATTTGTCACTTTTCACAGCTACACAGGAGGTAGCAGAGAAATGATACAGTGTTCCTCCTGAATGTTCATCTGTGAGATTTAACGGTCAGCATGGACCACTAAATTATCTCTATGGTTAATCACTGCAGCGATAAATGATTTTTTGCTTTGTGGCTGGAAGGAACACGTTTTGCAGTCCTGACTACAGCCACTCTGCCCTGACACTATCATGAATAATACTACTTTAGAGGCCCAGGGATGCTCATTTGAAATAATTTATTTACAATACATCCTTGCACCAGAGTTGTTCTATTATGAATGTTTCCAAATATATGGCAAAAACAAATGAAATGTGAGTTTAGGTCTGTTCTTGCTTTTAACTTTAGTGAAATGTTCAGCCAAGAGAAGTTATAACTTGGCTATGCTATGTCAGGGAGACCAAACACAGTTCAGCCTTTTTGAGGGAAAAGTTTTATAAACATAAACTGGCAGTATCACTTGAAAAAGCCCACTGTGACTGAGGAGATAAGTACAAGACATCACCCTTCGTCTTTTAATGGCTCATGTTTTTCTCCTTCTGTGCTTTAAAGCACTATATTTTAGAAGTTTGGGGGTTGGGGGAAGAAAGTTGTAGCAGCAAAAGTGATTCTATTACCAAGAAAAACAAATTGGAAAGAAGCAAAGATTATTTCTTTGCAAATGCCCCTTGCATTTATTTATTTATTTATATAAAGACTCACTGAATCAAAGATTCACGAAGGCCTGGAGTCTGTGTGTTTGATCCCCAGTGACTAAGGTCCATGTGCAGGCTCACTGAGGCATAGCACTGATGGAGAGTTGAAATGTTTATTTAAAACAGAAATGCCAAACCACTCCACCCTCAACCTTTCAAACATCTGGCTAACAATAAGCTAATTCTTCAGCAACAATGTCAGAGCAAATGAGTAACTCAGGTTATACTATAATGCAAAAGCAGTACTACTGGAAAACTTAAAACACCTAGCACTACATAAAGAAGAAAAACAGGACACAATTTAAAATTAGCTACAGAAAACCAGTTAAAGGCATTTCTGCTGCCTCACCTTTCACTTCTTATCTGATGTGTGGCTGCCACCTATGAACTGGTTTCTGTTTGCATAGCTTTTTGGTGGGAAAAATCATGTGGCTGTCCCAGGCACAATTTGGGAAAGTGCAAATTGTCTCTAAGGCACAGAACTTAGATTCTCATCCAGATTAAGAGCAAACCAAGACTTCCCAAGGGAACATGCCAGAGCAAATGGCCCCGTGTTCCGCTGCTGGAGAGCGACTCCCCCTCGAGCCAGGGCCCCCACCCTCCCTTCAGTGCTCCTTCACCCAGTCTCAGCAACGTGCCCGCGTCCCGCAGTTCCACGGCACAAGCAGTGCTCATGATTAACACCCAAACTGACCCTGCCTCTCAGGCCTGCTGAGATGGTGAGCATAAGGGATACAGGAACATGAAAGGCCAGTCAGTCCTTTAAAAAAAAAAGTTGCATTTACATGATGAACCAAAACCCATTGTTAGGGTTTGCTGCAAACCCCCCAAGTCCCCAGAACTTGTAACTTTAATCCAGGGTTGGCCCCTTCCCTTATTTTAAGAAAAGGCTTCAGTGATTACATTAGTACCATTGTACTAGGCTTCCCAGAATTGAGAAAACAATGGGAATATCAAACCAAAGAAGATCCCATTGAGTAGAGTTGCCCATCCCCAGCTGTGGGGTTTTCCTGGAGCAGCAGCCTTCACACCACCAATTGTAGGGAAATGGCAAAATTTCCATTGCACAGGTCCTTCCAAAATATTAAATAGATATCAAACATTTACTTGTTGGTTGGGGAAAATGAAACAAATCATTTTAGCTCTTTCTAAGGAGGTAGGATGTGATGGTCATCAAGGCAGCTCATGTAAAGGCGAGCTGGAAACAAAGCTCGCCTCCTTAAGTAAAACCATCAAATGTTTCTAGGACACTTGCTCTCTTTGGAAGAGCTGGCGTGTTCCTGTCTACAATGACATGAAGACATGGGGATCAGAAGGGAGCTCTCAGCCAAAATTCCTCTCAAAAACTGGCAGGCTCCTCCTGTTCTGTCAGGCTTCAGGGACTACCAGGTTTTGGTGCTGGCTCTGGGCCACTCAAGTAGGAAAGATGATACAGATTCACTGATATGATAAAACACCAAAAGGGGAAAAATACTGACTAGACATACAGAAAGGGAGTGGCTGGGGCTGCTGATGTCAAGATTAGAACCCTAAGAGCCACGAAGGTAGAGGCACAAGTAGCCTCTTCAGAGGAGAGACTCAAATCACTCTAGGTCCTCTCGAAGATACCAAGCAGAGGCAGCTGAGGAGGACCTCCCCTCATGGTTTCCTCCAAAGTCCATTCCCTCTGCCCCATGGACTCAGTTCTCTACGAGACGCCTCATCTCTCAGAAGGCTTTCCCAAAGCTAGGAAATCCCACCCTGACACTCCTGCTGTGTGACGAGGAGGGACCTGCCCTTCTTTCTCTGCTCCTCACTGAACAAGTTCCACTCAACTCTCAGAGGAAAAGCAATCTAAGCCCATTGTTCCTCCTAAAGCATTCAGCTGCACAAAGTAATTCAACTTTCTGAAAACAAGCTGGAGACTTACTCCACCAGACATACTTTCTTGGACTAAGGCTCCTGAGAGGGCTTAGAACACTTCGCCACTCTCCAGATGACCCTGGATGGGCCACACCTGGTTCCAGCCCCCTCCAGCTTTACACTTTAACCTCCTCCACCCAGAGGTGCAATGCCTGGCACTGAATTCCCAAGGCAGCTTCCAATTAACGGTGAAAATGATAAGTGGGATATAAGCTGCTAGCAGCAAAATGAACGTGAGCATTGTGTCTCCTCTTCAAAGGTGGGATCACCAGATGAGGTACAGAGCTGCTGTTGCTACGGCAGTCACTGAGGACAAAG